CGCTCACGCTCACGCTCACGCTCACGCTCACTCTCCCTCTGCTCTCGCTCTCGTTCACACTCACTCTCACTCTCACTCACACTCACACTTACTCACTCACCACCGCCGCCACCGTCACCACGATCTAGATCTTTAGACTTTTTGCTCATACGCCTCACACACACACTTGAGAAGGTTGCTCCGTAGAGCGCGATTTCAGGCTGCTTCGCGGAGTGCATTAGCACTTTAAGGGTAGTTACTGCATTAGCCGAATGCATCAGCACTTTACTGCAAAACAACGTATGAGACAGCGTTGAACTGACTTAGAAGCATCAATGAATGAATATTAAAACGTTGCAGGTACGCTGGGATGATCAGTCCCAGTATCACCAAGGCTGAGAGAGCGTCTTCGTTGGTGGTAGACTCTCTGCCTTGCTACCACCCCCTGCTTCTGTACAAGGTGGAAAAAGGCGGTCAGAAATAGATAGATAGATAGATAGATGAGTTCCCTTCGAAACAGGGGTTGACACACACAAGAAGCCGAAGCGGCGCACTAGTACTAATCAGGGCACAACTCAATGCTTTTGCAGTCATGTATCCAGTCAGCAAAATCTTGGTTTTGCTTTTTCTTTTTCTTTTTTCTTTTCTTTTTCTGCCAGGGGGTGAGGGGGTGTTCGGGCGTGCATTGACTAAACGAGCCTGGATGCCGCCTAACCAGCCTGAAGAAAAGAACAAAACAAACGAAAAGGCAAGGAAAGAAGAGAAAGGTGCAGGGGGTGCGGGGGGCGGGCAGGGCGTGCGTTGACTAAACGAGCCTGGATCATACCTAAAAAGCCTGAAGGAAGGAACAAGACAAACGAAAAGGCAAGAAAAACAAGCAAAGGTGCAGGGGGTGCGGGGTAGGGGTGGAGGCTCTTACGAGCGAACGAGAAGCCGAATCGGCGCTTTGTTAAAAACTATGGAAAATTGCTAAAAATTGGAAAAAGGAAACATCTCCGGGGTGAGACATGTTTCAGTGAAACTCTGCAGTATGTTTTCAGTAAAAGGTTTCAGTGAACTCTGCAGTAAAGCTTCACGTGTGCCAGGTGAGACAATCCAAGCAAGCTGATTTCGAGCAGGAAAAATTCAGTCAAGTGAACTTCAGAAAGACTTCAGGAAACTTACTCCCGCGGTGAGGAGTGAGAAGGTTCTTGCAGTAACGGCGCCCCGTAGGGATCACACAGCTTACCACAGTGGGAAGAAGCTGCGGAAACACACTTGAGAAGGTTGCTCCGTAGAGCGCGATTTCAGGCTGCTTCGCGGAGTGCATTAGCACTTTAAGGGTAGTTACTGCGTTAGCCGAATGCATTAGCACTTTACTGCAAAACGACGTATGAGACAGCGTCGAACTGACTTAGAAGCATCAATGAATGAATATTAAAACGTTGCAGGTACGCTGGGATGATCAGTCCCAGTATCACCAAGGCTGAGAGAGCGTCTTCGTTGGTGGTAGACTCTCTGCCTTGCTACCACCCCCTGCTTCTGTACAAGGTGGAAAAAGGCGGTCAGAAATAGATAGATAGATAGATAGATGAGTTCCCTTCGAAACAGGGGTTGACACACACACACACTGTTTGGGGTCTCTTGCCGGGATAATTTCAGGTCGGCAGATCGGCGCCTTTGGTGTATAGCGATGGGTATAGCCACAAGCGCGAAGCTGCAATCGGCAGGTTGATGCGGATGGAGGTACCTCTCTGGATTTCACCATGTTTGTGAAAGTGGTACGCAAGTGCAATGCCCCTTGGTATGGCCTGACAAGCTGAGTGGGCTGCGACTGATGTGTCCGACAGAGCGGCCCACTCAGGAAAAAGACCAAGCGAGGGCCATGGCAGTTTTCCAAACGTACGACGCCAACCATGAGGCGTGCCGAATGTTTGTGAACCATTTTCCAGAGTTGAGGAGCCAACCGCATTACCACAACTGCTACAGTACTAGTAGCAAGAAACTACTAGTAACGAGGCACTTTACTGCTAGTAACGAGAAGCTACTAGCAGCTCCTGGCATTGCCACTAGTAATAAGAAGCTATTAATAACGCGGGCATCAAAATGCTTCATAAAGCCCTGGCATAGCCTTCCCACCGCCAGCCGCCAGCTGGAATCCTGCCCTGCGATCGTAAACAGTGTGCGCAGATCCCATGCTGGCTGTTCTGCTGGTGAGTTTTTGTTTCAAGAAGTTGCAGAAGAGAGCCCCCAAATGTATATGGGGGAGGGAGGGTCTTGAATGCTCTCCCTGTTGAGCTGGGCCCAACGGAGAGACCCCTACTGTTTTTCTGAGGCGCGAGCCTTTGAATGGTCCTTTTGAGCGAGACAGAGGCGGCGCCTATCCAGACAATCCCGGACCTCCTGTGCAGGAGGGCGTGTGGGGAGCTTTCACCCATGCGGCTGGGGGCCCTGGAAACGATGTTCGTTTGGTTGCGGCCATGCCCTTTTGGACGATCCCCGGCATTGTAGGCGCCGCGCTCCTCCCGACGGGCGACAGACTTTCTCCCATTCAAGCGGCTCAAGTGGGATTTGTGTGGCGCAATGCACGGTGGCGTGGGGTGGTGACCCTGACCGGGACCCGTGGATGGCAGATGACAGCGGGGACGTCTTGATGGTACAGGGCATGCTGAATGCGAGCGGTGCATCAGGCAGCAAGGAGAACCTCCTGAAGATGTCCAACATCGTGGACCAGACGGATGACTCGGAGACAAGATTGCCGGACGCATTGAAGTTGAACGAATGGACTCAGAGGTACGTTGCGGTGATGGGTGCTCCACCTCAAGAAGAAGAAGGAGGAGGAGGAGAAGAAGAAGAAGAAAAAAGAAGAAGAAGAAGAAGAAGAAGAAGAAGAAGAAGAAGCAACGGAAGCTCAGTTGGCAGGAGCCCTTCATCACCGGGTCATGGTACAGAAGCAGCCTCCCTACGTTGACTTCTCAGTTTGGCTGCCCTTTGGAAGGTCGGAAGGAGGGTGTTGAAGAACCAGAAATTTCGCGCCCTCCTGCCCATTGGAGACGGTTCCTTTGTGATGAAAGAGCTGCCTGGACCTCAGAACTTGCAGCCGTGGCTAGTGAGTTGGAGAGTGTTCAAATTGGCTTGCATATCGCTGAACATCGTGACGTTGGCGGCCTTGCAGCTCTATGAGAAGGTCATTGAGAAGTTGGTCATCCAGTGGCCGAGAGCGTGGGGCCTCATCGCGCAGGCGGACGACAAGGCTAGAGCTGAGAAGCTAGAGAAGATCAGGAGATCCATCGTGTTGGAGATGGCCGCAGGAAGTCCAGCACCACGTGAACTCAATGAGGCTGAACCATGGACAGCTTGCTTTAGAGCCTTGGCGTTGGATGAGACGTTTTGGAATGAGCAAGTTAGACATCCTGCAGCAGAATGGTTGGCGAGCGGTGCTCATGGGTCGCCTAACCCTCCAGCTGAGGCAATGCCGATGGTGCACCGTCCGGGGCTTCCTGTGATGGAGATAGCTGAGAGAGAGGAGCTCGCCCAGTTTAGAGAGCAAAGAGTCAAAGGCGACTTTGGCAAAGGAAAGGGCAAGGGCAAAGGAAAAGACCAGGCGGGCCAGGAGCAGTTGGGGAGCGTGCGCGAGTGCACGCTGTGCTTCTCACCGGCGCATCCCAACGCGGAGTGTCGCAGGAAGGCTGCGCCCCTCGTGATCCCTTGAGGAGCTGTGGGAGAAAGGGCGCAGCTGGCCTCTTGCAGGGAGACAAGAGGGTGAGGGGACAGATGCGCGGGCGTCGAGGGATGGGTGTGCTGGTTAAGTCAAAGGGAAGCGTACGGGGGACGGAGACTGGGGTCGCACTCGCTTTTCGAAACCCGGTTTTCGTCGTCGGAACCGTTCGGACGGATGAACAGAACGTGCTTCGGCGGCAGCGTGGGTTCGAGGCGAGGTCGGGGACGCGCATGTCTGCGGGCGGTCATGGCGAGCTCGATGGCCGAGAAGGAAGGCTTGCAGGTGGAGATATACAGCCTTGACAAAAGGATGAAGGAAGGCGATGTGGACCTAGCAAAAGATCATCCTTTCAAGGAGCTGAAGGAGGAAGCGGAAGCGTGCAACACCTTTAGTCGAGCGAGATGGAACATGTCGCATCGAGGCCTCCACCTGTGAGATCATTGCAACATATCTATGGGCTGCCTGGGCTGCCGTCCAACTCGCCCGAGGAGCAGCAGATGGCAGACACGGGAACGTTGCTAGCGTGCAGGTTCGTGGAAATCATCGGCGCCATCCTAAAGGACCAGAGAACTTAAGATTGCGGAGTGCTTCAGGCGGGCACCTTGGAGAATCCGCCGGGGTCCGACGCGCAGGAAGAAGGAGCTGCCGGAGGTCAAGGCGTCCCTAGAAGCGTTTGAGGCACATGTGGCTGACTTCAACACTTGCAGTTTCAAGGAGCGTGTGAGGTGGCACAAGCCTCGGAGATGGGCGGGACGCTTGTTGGACTTGGAGAAATTGTCAAAGCCATGTACATGTGGACAGTGGATCAGACATGAACCTTCGGTAGGCTCCAAGAAGACGTCCAAAGCAGCGCAGTACCCCAGGAAGCTGTGTGAGGAGTATTGCAGGTTGCTCATCACGGCGTTTAAGCACACTCTCCAGTTGGAGTACTGGAGGAATAAGCTCACGCAAAGGAGGAGGAGGTGTCTCAAGCGCAAATGGTTGGAGAGCAAGGATCGCATCTACCAGGGACCTCCTGAAGGTAAACCCACAGCGGATCCATCAAAGAGAGTGTGGGAACAAACTCAGGCCACTCATGACATGAGACCTCAACTGGGTTGGTCAAAGAAGGAGGAGAATGACCGGTTGTGTATATAGAACGTCTACCCAGCTTGGAATAGGTTCATAGTGGCGTATTTGAGGGCACTGGAAGTAGCAAGGAAGTATAGGTCCGAGGGCAGGCCGGATATGGAGGGACATCCAGACCGGGCAAACTCTGGGAGCCAGTGCGTGCAAGAGCAGAGTTGGGCAGATTGGTGGAGGAAGGCTTTGCGGTGGTCCTCCCGATAAGGCGCGAGCGGTTCTCACGAACGAGGCGTTGTCTCAAAGTTGGCATTACTGATCAAGACCAAGGACGACGGCAGTGTGAAAAGGAGCAGCGTCATAGACCTTCTGCGGTCAGGCGGCAATGCTCGTTGTCGGGTGCCGGAACGCATAGTTCTCTGCAGGGTCGTGGATGTCATAGACAGCTTCAGGTAGTTATTGTGGAATAATTACAAGAGATCGGATGAAGATCAAGTCGAGGGACGAGAAATGGGAGCTGGACGTCTTTGGCTGGTGACGGCGGACCTGAGTGACGCCTATTGCCACCTGCCGGTACATCCCGAAGAGCAAACTGTCTCAGCCCGGGAATACATCAGTCAGAGACCCTGTGGCAATGCTATTTGGGTTCCGGGGGCACCGTTATTGATGGGCAGGTTCGCAGCTTGCCTGGCCCGTCTTTGGCAGTCCTCATTGCGCCCTCTGAAATGCAAAGCCAGCTCTACATCTATGATCATATGTGGATTCTACGCGGTCCGACCTTGCGAAGGAACAGGAACTTGGCGCTGCTGCTATGCACGGTGCGGGCACTCGGAATCAACGTGGCCTGGCATAAAGGTTCAAGGGGTACACAACTGTCCTGGATCGGGGTCATGTTCGAGGTCGCGCAAGCAGTAGCGGTGGTGAAATTGACAGCGCTAAAGAAAATGATGGCTGAGATCAAGCAGACGCTGGAGAGCTGGGAAACTAAAGGGATGGTCAGCTTCAAGGACCGGCCGCCTCTCATGGCTGTCATCCTGCCCAGGTCCAGGTGGGCGGTCTCCATCATGTATGCGGCGCTGGCCGATGCAAAGCGTGGGACTGATCGCGGCCAAGCGGATGGAGTTGCCAAGGGGGTGGTTCTTGGCCTGGAAACACGCCCCAGAATGATTTGAGCACTTTTCTGGTCGAGCTTGCAAGTTTTTTGAGGTGGAGTTGAACCCAAGGCAGAAGTAGCCGGACCACAGTATGGGGCCTACGTTCACCATCATCGAAGGCTTGGAGATCCCGTTGGAAGAAGAGGATGCCAAATTGCTGGGAGTGCCATGGAAAGAGTCAGCTCCACAAGGGCCGCTAGAAGCATGGGCTGTGAAGTTGGAGAGGCAAGGAAGATGCAGATCACCATCAAGGGAAAGGGCAAAGTCAAGGTCACAGCATGAGCTGCGACGTGGATCTCGACTACAGTGAGAACTCAGAGAACACTGGGAGTGTTGGGATTTGGCGTCGGGGACCCTTGAAGTGCGTGAATAACTTAATTGGAGAGAGAGAGGGAGAGAGACAGAGAGAGAGAGAGAGAGTGCATGCAGACAAGGAGATAAGCGTGCAATTCGAGGCCATCGTGACGAAAGGCAAGCGGGTGAAAACCTGTGAGAGGTGGCGCAGGAAGATGGAAGTGTGAGGCGTGCGAAGAGGGGGTCGTTTGAGGAAGTCATGGGCATCCTGAAGGGCAAAGAACGACTAATGAAGGCCAGACAGGAGTTGCAAAGATGACTTCATGGCCAAAACTTCGAGAGCCTCACAGAGAACAAAGAGGGAACAAGTCCTGATGATGGCGCAGGAAGCGTGTGGACTCAACAAGAGGGTCTTCCCTTTGGCTACGGAGACGGTAGAGAAGGTGGCAGCTGCCATTAAAGCGGTCAGTTGGGCCTCGGGAGACCAATACATCAACGAGTCGAAGTTGATGCACATTGAGGCCGGCTGGGAAGTGAGCCAACACCTGAACAAGTGGATGGCGGACTGCGAAAGATCGCTGAAGAGGAAGCGGGGGCCAGCCAAGAGGGATCCTGAATACAAGTTGGAGGACATCAAGCACATCAAGTTGATTCCAGGCCAACTCTATCCTATGCATGGGCAGTGATTTGGATGTTGAGGGAAATTGAAGTGAGTGCAATGAGATGGAAGGACATCATGGTCGATTGGAACAAGAAACGAGTGTCTATATACATCCCCGTCTCCAAGTGTGACCAACAGGGACTTGGCGTGCGCAGAACGTTGCAATGCTGCTCAGCGAGGACATGCCAAAAATGGTGCCCCTGGAAGCTGTGGTTGGAACTCTGGAAAGCTTTCCGAGAAGAGGACACATCACCTCAAGAGTTCGCCTTCCAGGACTCAGAGGGCAAGAAGCTCTCCAAGGCAAAAATGGTTAGAAGGATGGGCCACGTTTACATGTCCTGAAATGCAGGGCCACTCAGCAAGACGCAGTGGTGCCATGGGCTATGTGAGACTCGGAATGCCCATTCAGGAACTGGCCTTGTTGGGAAGATGGAAGTCTTCGGTGGTGTTGACCTATGCGGAGGATGCTCTCCATACAGAGCCCACCGAGGCTTGAGGGTGACGGAAGACGCGAAGCCCAAGAAGTAGGGAAAGGACGCTACAAGAGTCCTGCATGATGTGAAAGAAGAAAGTCCGGGACCTCTTGATGGGCGTCTGGCAGCAAAGGAGCTGGAACAGAAGGCAGAAGAAATGAACGAGAAGGTGCAGGACATCTTAGTCACCGAAATGCCCAAGAAATTGTGGGTCGCCTCAACGGCATACAGTTCAAGGGAGAGAGTTTGGCACCAAGTCGAAGATGCTGGATGGGATGAACTCATTGAAACGTGGACATCTGTTTGTGGTTGGCCTTTCAGCAGGAATTCCACGAAGGTGATCCTCAACTCCCACCTCACCAGTTCGCAAAGGAAATGCAAGAAGTGCACGAGGAAACTGGCGGCATCATAGCCAGAGAGGTTGGAGATGCAAGTCAAAGAAGACAAAACTGACACCTGAGGAAACGACCAGTGTCACAACCAAACTGCAAAAGGAAAGAGCTCCTTTGCAGTACTTGGAGGGTGGGAGGGCTGAGCATTTCTGCACTCGCCGTCGAAGAAGTTCAGAATGAACTGATAGGCATGTATAGGGGGGAGGGTCTTGAATGCGCTCCCTGTTGAGCTGGGCTCAAAAGGAGAGACCTCTAATGTTTTTCTTCCCACCCACCCACACCTGTGTTATATTACACGGTTTCGAAGGTGAGGTTGGAGATGCAAGTCAATGAAGACAAAACTGACACTGGAGGAAACGACCAGTGACACAACCAACCTGCAAGAAGAAGTGAGCTCCCTTGCAGTACTTGGAGGGTGGGAGGGCTGAGCATTTCTGCATTCGCTGTCCACTAGTTTCATGTTGCCATCCTTCATTGATCCTTCTCCTTCAATGGCCATGCTGTGGAGATCGCAGTTTGCAGGGCCTGTTGGACATGGAGCAGCAGAGTGATGCCTTTCAAGCGCTCGGCTTGGTGGATGCGGATGGCCGTCTCCCACGCCGGAGTCACGGCCTGGAGCCCTGGGGCCCTCTTAGAGGATCGGCGCAAATGGGCACAAATGGGTAGCTAATAGGCCTGGGATGCTTCCAGCCATTCCTTCTCTTGGTGCATTGTGTCGAAAAGAAGTCCTCAAGAGGAAACGGGGTCCTGCAATGTTTGCGTTTGGTTCTCTGCAAGTTTGCAGCGTTCCAACTTGAAAGCATGTCCAGGTGAGATGGAGGGGGCCGACCTTCGAGTCTTTTTGGGCATCATTGAACGATTTAAAAAGTCCTCTCTGGTGACCCTCCGCAAGAACCAGGCGTGCTAAACTGCTAAACGCTACAGCTTCTTGGTCAGAGAGAGGTCGTTTGACTCACCAAAAAGTCAGCAGGAAGCAATGGCCTAAGCTGACAGCTGTGACAACACTGCTGCAAGAACCGCTGCTGAAGAGGCTCAAGATCTTGTTTTTGGGGCTAGATCTTTGAGACCGCCCAGCTTAATTAGGCGCCATCCGCCCCTGAAGGGAGCGAGATGTTGGGCGGAGGGGAGCTGGTAAAGCAGGTGAGCATCTTCGGCTTTGGCTATAACCGCACGAACTATCAGCTCGACCAAGGGCAACGATGGGCACGCTACACCGCAGGCCGGGCGAATGAACTTAAAAGGTTCGCCATGTTCAGAGTCTTGGCTGGTTACCAGTCTCGGATGTTTCTTTCGACTGGTTCATTCCCCGGCCAAAGGGATGGGCCAACCCCAAGGAAACGCAGAATATGTCAGACGGCTTCAACCTTGATACTTTCCTGGACCGACAGCACAGCTAAGGAGAGGATGTGTCCGATCTTGCCTCTGTGTCAGTGAGCAAGTTGAAGGTGTACGTGCCAGTCCTTACGATGAGCTTGGGATATGTGCTGACCGTCTTGGTGGAAGCACGTTTCTGGTCTTGACAATGAAAGCTGGGAGATTTATATAACCCGGTACAATGTGGAGCCAAACCATCGGCAGACAACAGACAATGAAAGCAAGGATCAGTGTAACAGTCTTGCGACAGTGCATGCCTTCTCAGAGATCCAAGGTTCTGGGTTGAAGTTCCCTGGGCCACCGACCTTCGCTTCTGGTCTGTATCTGACGCTCGCAAAAAGTGGTGGCGAACTGATTCACTTTCCTTAAGTTTCCCAAAAAAGCAGGAACCAAATCATTAGTGCGAGCGCTTCTTCAAGCAAGCTTCCTTGAAGCGTGAGCTATCCTGCGCCCAAGGTAGTAGCGTTCTTGTAGCTACTAGCTACCTAGCTCCTACTAGCTACCTCTAGCTATTACCTCTACCACATGGCAGGACGTGGACCATCTCTCAATCATTTCAATTCCAAGGCAAGGCTTGAGAACTGAAGCTTCACCTTCATTTGTTGGCTAAGGAATTGCTTGGGAGTTGCCTTCGCCTGGATGACACTCTCCATTTGGCTCTGCTGGCATGCGGCCATGCGGGCTCAGGCTGTCACACTGGTCAAAACTCGGGTTGCTGCTTCCCTTTTGTGGGGATGGTCCTCCATCTCTCAAACATATGTATATATGGATGGGATGTGATGTGATGTGATGTGATGTGATGTGATGTGATGTGATGTGATGTATGTATGTATGTATGTATGTATGTATGTATTCATGGATGGATGGATGGATGGATGGATGCATGGATGCATGGATGCATGGATGCATGTATGCATGTATGCATGTATGTGCACAGGTATGAATATGACACATATTTACACGAGTGGAAGGAACACCATTCGCTACACACAGATTGACAAACTCCTTGCAATGACCAAAGCGTCCTGCCTCGGGACAGCCGCTTGAGCGACTTTCGGCCCACAAGTTCATAGCCAAAGTAGGAGTGGTGTATGTGTCCGATTCAGGTGGTGTTTTTGTTGGGTGGAAGGCCTTGCAGGTGATGCCAGATTTTCGCAGCGGTGCCGCTGAGGTGGCCATGGTGCAGCTGAGGACGCGCCATGTTCGCCTGCCCGTCCCCACGCAGAGGCAGCTGGACAGCGCACGAAAAATCCTCTCGAGCTACGAGGATCGGGCCATGCCAATCAGTTTCTACAGGATGAGTTTAATGTGGGTGAGGACTGAGAACTGGACCCGCAAGCCATTGTAGCTGAGCATGGGATTCCATTCAATTTTGGAATGAACCGGTGGTCTTGGGTTTTAGCACGCGTCCGGACTTTGCATCAATACGAAGCCGAACAGCAAAAGAGATAGCGACAACAGACCTTACACCAGGAACCATACAAGAATGGGAAACTTCGGTTTCATTGGTTAAAACACCAGCCTCACCATGAGGCAGTGAGGGGAAGAACCACGGGCACACATTGTGAGTGTATTTTGTTGATGTGGCGGCGTTTGTTCATAGGCTCAGTGGGGCTATGTTTCTCGATTTTCAGACCATTTCACGTGAAGTTGGCTTGAAAGGAGCAGGGCGTCTATGACATCTTCCGCCTGCCCTTCGTGATGCCGCAAGGTGGTGATGCTCCAGTCGAGAAGGATGAAGAATCCAAAGAGGAGCTGAAGGGCAGCTACAAGAAAGGCGGCTTACCAGGTGGGGAGAAGGATCTTACTTACGTAAGTATGCCTTTCATGCTTGGTGGTCCGTTGTCTCTTGGTGAAGTCTTTGGATATTACACGAGGTATGGCTGCCAAGATGAAGGGAAAAGTGACTCTTGGTCCTTCAAGGCTTTGTGACATGTTCCGCCAGCACCCTGGCATCCCTGAACCAGTCACCTGACGTGCCGAGGAAAGATCTTCATACTGAGACGGGCGGAGACATCAAGGAAATCGGTCATGCTGCACGAATGCCTGGCTTCACCACCGGTGCCCCTTCATGGGTGGAGAAGGAGATTGAGGCATTTGCAGGGCATGTGTTTGCTCCACGTGCATCCAACACATGATAAACATCCCCCTCTTGTTGCAGGGCAGGCTTGTTTGTTGGCTTGAAGTGTGATTGATTAGGGGCAGTAAAGAAAGCGCATTTGGCGAGATTGGTGTTGCTTGTGCTCGTTCTGCTCAGTCCTGCATAGCCTGCATGCCCTAAAAATGACGCAACGAGTCGAGAGTCGAGAGCTTTTTCCCGCGATCGCGTGAGCTCGACGCAAAGAGCCACACGGATCGAGGCGCGTGATGACTTGCCGAAAGCCTCTCCAAGCGCTTTTGGGAACGAAGCGCCTCCTGAGCCCTATGAGCACTTCGAGATGATCCGCCAAGCTCAGAAGGACTACTGGTGCGCAGAAGCATATGCTCGTGTGACCTTCTTGTGCCTGGGCTTGTTTCAGCTTGGTTTCATGAGAAGATCCACCGAAGAGTCGCACTAACAAACGACAAGCAGCCCAGGATTGGAAAGATGCACTTGATCCAATCATTCGCCTATTGGCTTCCCATCCATTGTATCGCGGAGCTGGGCTTGGTGTGGAGTGCAACAGTCTGCTGCTCTTGCTTGGTTGCAGCCATTTGGATCATGTTCCGCATGGATGTGCTCCCTTCACATGGTGGTTGTTTCCCGATTGAATTCGGAGGGCCTTTCATCGAAACCATCTCCTTGGCTTTGGCATATACGCACCATCCAACCTCACAGGTCCTCGATATCTCCCGGGCGGTGGCCATTGTGGTGCTCCTGATGCAGATTGGCCAGACCATCCGTTTCTATGTGGTGTCTCAGCCTGGGAATGGTGAGCCTGAGATCAAACAGGCTCGTGAAGCAGACAACCGGCTTTTCAACCAAGCTGCTTCTTGCGAGAGCCCTATCTGGTTGCCTGCCGCCTTCCAGACAGTCTCTTACTTGGTGGCACCTCCAAAGGTCGAGAAACAACTGGAGAAGGAACGAAAGTCACGTGATCACGACCACGTGCAAGAGGATCCCATGGTGAATGTGGACATGACTCCATGGTATTACGTTCGGACCTTGCTGATTATCACAGCACTGAGTTGGTTTGTGTTGCTGACTGGCCGCGTGGTTGAATGTGTCATGGGCGAGAGGATGTTGGTGCAAAACCCTGGGGCTCCTCCCTAGAGCCGCGCTGGCCGATGGTATGGATGGGAAAGTGGCCCCATTACATCCAAGCACTACGCTCACGTCACACCAATGAGAGGACTTGAGTTTGCTTGAGCAGTTGACATAATTTAATAGATTTCTTGCGTGTGATAAGGAGATCGACTTGGGACCCCCTAACCCTGCAGGACACTTCGCTTGGCAGAAGGGCTGGGGGCCGCAAGGGCAACAAGAGATCTGGGCCAGCGATATGTTTGGATTCCATCCTGAGGCAGATATGCATTGGTCTGAGGCAGAAGGTCCTGAGCCTTTGGTGGGAGCTGCCGGGGTTGGGAAGAACACTTGGTTCAATGGAGTCATCCACTACGCGCGCGTCTACACTGGAGAGCACAGTTGGTTGGACAGTGGGGGTCACCGTCGCTTGAGCGAGAAGCAGATGCCCACCTCAGTCCGCCCAGTGGTGCCAGCAGCCTTGCAGTGGCCAGCTGGCTTGGAGCCAGAGCTCTTGGCCTGTGGGTCAGAAGGGATGGTGGCAATGGCTCGAGGTGGAATGGGCGCCTATCTTCCTCCATCCACTGAAGGTGGCTTCGGCACCGTGATGCCTTTCACACTTGAAGGCTTGATGAAGATGGGCTTGGCACAAAGCCTCAGTTGGGGAGATGAAGGGCTGTTGGCTCACACAAGCTCTGGAGCTGTGGTTTCCTGCCCAATGACTGCCGCAGGTGGCACCTTCCATTGCTCTTCCGTGGATCTTCCCCCGCTTCCAACCTATGGGAAGCAGATGGCCGTGGTCTTGGCCGCTACCAAGGAACATCCTTTCCGCGCTGCGGTGGTTGCAGAGGGCAAGGTGAGAATGCACGCACTGAAGCCTTTGGGTCTCGAACGTGACTGGCACGTCATGGCGGAGCTCGACCTCCCGCTCCAGTCCGAGGTGACCTCGTTGACAGGCGAGGGCTCGTGTTCAAGGATGCGAGAATCCAGAGAGTGTGTCACAGCTGCTGAAGCAAAGCCCGAGCTTGTGAAAACAGAACGGAATCATCTCAAAACAACAGACATATCAGTCAAACCAACACTTAGATTCGTTCTCATTTCCCTATCGATTGGCAGGTGATCATCAGAAGATTGTGGTGTCCATGCAGGACGGCTCCATCCTCCTTTGGTCCTTCACCAGCCATGGCCCATCCTCAGTGCTTCATGAAGCCCCAGCTGCTGGACCTCGTCGGACCTGGAACTCGGCGTGCGCCGGGTTCCAGGGCCGCATCATGCGCTTGGCGTCCAAGTGGCGGAAACACCCAGCTGGGCACACCGAATGGACACCTGAACTGCTCTTTTAATGGGGTGTTCCAGCTCCCAGGAATCGGGCAACCACTTGAGTTGTGGAAGTTTGACAGGTTGAAGTGGTTTTTTTTGTCGAAGTATTTCTCGGTTGCGCGAGTCTTAATTTGAACCAAGACTTTTGGAGCAGCCCCGAGCGGACTCCTTATCACTCGAGAATGTAGAGTGACAGCTTTATGGGATGCAAGATGGCCTCCTTCACTGAAGGTGGCGGAGGTCAGATTGTTGTGGTGGGTGGCTTTCTCCGAAGCCTATGCTTCATTTCTTTTACTTGACCCACTGCATTTCTCCCTAAGACCGGTGTAACGTGCCCAAGGCTGCAATCTTGCAAAAACATTCCGAGTGCGACAAATCAACGGGACCACAAACTCACAGCTCTTCGGAGCACCATGAGAGGCCGCCTGAGGAGCAAGAGTGCCTCCACACAATCTGATTCTGTGGAGTTGGTACGTAATTTGCATTTGCTGAGTTGGTGCCCTACCCCTGGTCCAGGGCTTCACGTCTGTAGAAGTTTTTGAGCTCAACTCGCTCTTCAAGAATTTTGATGAGGAATGGGGAGGGTTGGACTCGTTTTGGCTTCGCGAGCGGAGAAGGTTGACTGTCAAGTGCCAGAAAGGAGTAAGGCAAGCAAGCTCTCCTCAGCTACAGTCAAACTGCTGTTCGATGTGGTGAAGAGACGTTGCCAAAGGGTTTGGGTAGGTCGTGAAAACTCAACATCGCAGGCCAGGGGCCTTGTCATCATCCCGACACGAGTTTGCATGGTCCTTGTAGCTGTGACCGACGCCAGGATCACGATGGCCACATCACCAAGCAGGAACTGGTGGGGATCATCGAGGTTTTGTGCCTGGGCGTTTTCTGTCGGACTCCCATGTTGGTTTGCTTTCAGTTCAAGATTGCAAGGCGAATAGTCGCAGGGCAGCCCTCTAGCCGTTTAGATGCCCATCCGGTGTTTTAGTTGGCGCTGTGGTTCTGAGGTTCCCTCTTGAGGCACGGTCGAAGCAATTTCGACCGTTTCTAGTCCAGCTGTTGCAGGAGGAGGAGGACCGAAAGTGGAACATACAGTTTGACAGAGGTAGTCTGAATGAGTGCGCTATGGATTTGCAGCAGGAACCTCCTGAAAACAATAGGGCTTGCTTACGAGGTTTTCACTTCTGAGCAGGGAAGAGGTGTGACTGCTCTTGATTCGAACAGGTAATTTCTCTCATGTCGCTCATGTGGCGTGTGACATGGGAGCTACGCAAAGCGTCGTCCAAAGAGATCAGAAGATTGTTGCCAGGGCAACCGAGACTGAAACTATTCGAGAGATGGCTCGATATTGAATTATATAGCCTATAGCCTATAGCTATACATCAATCTACCAGATTGCTTGGGAAGGGGTTCACTCGCCATGCGCCACACCGCCTTTGCGGTTTCTTTAGACGCCCAAAAATGGTGTCCTTTGCGGTAGCAGTGCAGGTTTCGAGAATCCCTTGTGCTCCCCTCATTTCAATTTGTTAGATCGTGTCACCTTGGTCTCTAGGACTGCGCCCCTCGAAGCTTCTCAGATTTCCTCGTGGTGATGCGGAAGATCACGGATCAACAGGAGCAGCTTGAGCGGCTTTGCGGAACTTCTCAGAACATGGGCAGTTCGCGGCCCGGTGTTAGGTCAAAACCCTTAGGTCGGGCAGCTTGGTGAGGCGCAGTTGAGGGAAACTGCTGTTGAAGTCCACTGTTTTCGAGTACGTACTGTACATTTTGGATTGTCTATATCAGTGCATGTGTCAGTACATTTCGCTGTTTGGGACTTGCAGGCAGTGGTTGAACCTGAGTTGATCAGGTTTGAGCGGCAGACAGAGTTGATCGCGCAACTGGGCTTCTCACACGCTGAAGCAAGCCAGTTTCGGGATTTGTTCATCATGGCCGACGAGGTGCGGACAATTGAATACAATAGAGAGAGAGAGAGAGAGCCATTTTATGCCCTTTCCATTTGTGCTAGCATGGTTGTTTTCAAGTTAGCCGCATGTTGTCCACATGCCTTGGTCGCAAAATGCTTGCATGCAGCCTGCCAAGTTGCCTGAAGGACAGTGTTGGCAGACTCTCGTTTGATCAAATCAAACGAATGCTTTGCAAAAGCCTTCGCCTCAGCGATGCTCGGCTGGAGTTTGTCATGAAATAGGCTTGGAGTTTGTGTTCCAATGGCCCGGCCAACTGGAGGGCATTTTGCAATTCAGTGTTGAGCCGGGGAGCTGCTTCGATAGATCAGGACCTTCACCTGGAACGGCTGCGGACGATTTTCCAGCAAACCCTCTTGCGGTCGGGGATTCGCAATGAGAAGGCGGGCTACGCCGAATTCCTGCAAATCATGAGTGCTCTTGGCTGCAGAGTAGCACAGTGTAGGGCCCCAGAATCTGGGTTGTGCTGGCTGGCGCTTAGCCCCAGCAGAAAGTCAACGGGCGCAGGCCGGTGTGAGCAGCCCCATGCTCGATCCCGGACCGCTTCAGGGTTGTGTCAACGTGCTAAAATGGCATTGGTTTTGGCCTCGGTGTAGAAGTCCCACCTGTATCCACTGCAACGTGCATCCTCACACTCGCAGCTCAGCCCCCAACCACATGGACTGAATCCTGCGCTGAAGCGCCGATTGCCCACACCAAGTGTTGCCCATGAGGGTGTCGTCAAGATGCCGTCCACCTACAGCGTCCACAGTCCCCCAAGTCCAGTCCTTGGGATCTCCCTCACTTGCCCCTTCCGCACAAAAGCGGTCACTCATTTTCCTACACTTCCCGGCTCTACATGTCTGGAACCACACAGAGGAGCCCGGCGACTTGGGGGCTGGGATCATGTCGGGACACGAGGCGGAACCCTGTTGGTTGCTGTGAGCATTTGCTGAGTCAGTATATTTTTTTCCGAGGTGAAGTGGTGCAAGAGGACTGGTGCTCCCAGCTGCCTTGACTTCGCACGCTACAACAAATGTGAAAGGGTGGGCGGTGGGCAGCAACACCTTGCCAGCTCCATGTGAGCTTCAAACCAGGGCGGTGATGTATCTACGCCAGCCGCAGGAACAAAGGAAGGGTATGATTGCAGGGCGGGTGCTCGGCAAGATGAATTAACTCGGATCTCCGACATTTCAAGATGGACCTCTAAGAGGTCGCATCCTCCAGGGATCTCCCCGATCTTGATCTGACCAAAAGTAGGCAGGCCACTTGGTGGGACCAGAAAGGAGTCTCAGCCAGGATCAATGGCTTGCCTGGGCCGCCTCGCCATGACCAACGTGTGAATTTCCCTTCTTGTGACCACGCTGTGTTTGAGTGGTGATTTGCGATCACACTTTTGGGCCGTGGTGGGCGTCTGTTTGAATCCCTTCCTGACCGGAGCTCCAAGGCATTTCATGACCGATGGAGCTATTGACATGACCGGGGAGGGATTGATAGCAGTTTGCTGCAGCTTCAAGGGCCAGTCTGAAACATCCCTCTTCACCACTCCCGGCGCTGGGATGGGATGGAATGGATTCACTCGGGTCCCGTGTGGGAGTTCCAAAGATGTTCCGGGTCCACCCATGCACGGGCGACGTGTTGGACCCTGTTTAGCTGTGGTTTCGTGCCATGGATCGATGCGTCACTGTTTGTACAGCAACCGTTTGACGCAGAGAGATGGCTCCCGTGGACACACCCGTTTGAGCAGAAGGGATTCTTTTCTCTGAACTTGTCGGGGATTGATCCAAGCCTGGGATGTTTTGGTATTACCAAGGTTGTGCCCATCCAACTGAACCCTTGCAGCTCAAGGGGGTTTGAAGTGGAGGACGGCTTTGCGCGGCTAGCTCCGCAGTGGTTTGCTCCAAGAGCAGCGAGCCCGAAGCTGCCTGCATCGCACAAAAGAGGCGCCCCTCCGAGTCCAGTCTCGGACACAGCGATGTCGATGTCTTGTCTCGATGGTTGCAGGAAGCCGGGTCGAAGATTTCTAATGTGGGTCTTTGGAATGTGGGTTTTCTAATATAGATTGATACATATTGATACATGAATTGTGTGACTTTGCATCTTGTGAACATACCTTTTCATTTCCCCCAATTCCAGGATGCCTTTCCCACCGTGGGGGCGCAGATCCCACGGAAGAGGAACCCTCCAGTCCATGCGCATGGTGAGTCCTGTCCAGTCCATTTGTTTGCGGAGCTTCCTCGATCGATTCAACCGTTCAAACATTTTATTCCAATAGCATGGTCTCCCACCTAGTGGCGATGGCCTCCAACCTAGTAATGTAGCGATGTGTGTCTCAAGTGGCTTTCGGATTGAACCCATCTGGACGTCACCCGCCCCGCCGAGACGCCGAGGCTGGACCTGGCATGAAGGACGGTGGGAAGCTGGCTGTGCTGGCAGCGTCGCATGTGCAAGCAACGGGCTCCAGATGCTCAAGGCTACAGCACACCATAGAGCAGCAAGTGTAACTCCAAAAGTAGCAGACTTCAGCCTTTGAGACTTGGCATCGGAGCGGCCAGAAGATAAGCATCTTGGAGAGATGGGGTTTCGAGCTCTGCCAGGGCGGGGTTCAGAATGAGTTGCTTCCCGGCCAAGCCATGGCAACTGCGCCTTTGGACCTGGCACTGTCTGCGCCCGTGCCAAAGTGCTGGGGCACAGGTGGGCACACTGTGGATTCGCATGGATTCGTAGAGCATGTGGACAGCATTCTGAGGCACAGCATTGCAGGATTCTCATGTTGCTGAAACTCAATGTTGCTGGTCAGTTGCTGGGTGCTCCACTCCAGGTGATGAGGGCCTTCAGATAGAGGCCACTAGGGTGGGTGGGTTTCACAAAACCGCTCAACATCCAGCATGCTGACAGATGTGGCAACAGCTTGTTTACGTGATCACAGGCTTCCGGCTTACGTGAATTGCAGACATGATATATAGTACTGTAGGTGTTTTTCACGTTGCTGCGCTCCTGAGAGGTCTCTTGTTGCAGCGATCCCCCCCTGCTGGAAGAATGTGGTGGCTTAGCCATGATGCCACTGCGGGCCGCCTGCTGCGGACGTTTGTCTGGGCTTGTGCGGCCATCTGCCGAGTGGGAGCTGCGCTCAGGGGTAGTGGAAGAGAATGGTGGAGCGCCCCGATAAGTGCAAAGACCACCGGCCAACATGTGTCTCAAAATGAAAGGAGTAGTCCAAATACAAAATCAATAGCTTTTCATCAGTCTCTGGACATCTTGAGGCACGCCACACTATGACATCACACATGAAACCATGTTGAACACACTTCATACAATTGTAAGGGCTCCGCCCCC